AGCACAGTTTTCCCCAGCAGAGCCCATTGCTTTTCTATCCCACTCCCTCCAGAGCACAGTTTTTTCCTGGGGGGCTTGGAGGGGGACACTGTAGGGCTGGATTTAGGGATGAGTCTCCAGTTGTGCCCAGGCTGGGGACAGAAGCAGCACAAGGACCTGACACTGGGAAAAGGAGCTCGTTGCTGCAGGAAGGGATTTGCTGAGGTTGAGAAAGACTTTCAGACAGGGCTGTGAAGCTTCAGGTAAGCAAAGCAAGTGATGGTTGTTCCTCTGTTTGGAGCCATCTCCCACAGGGGTGTCTGGGCACAGGGCACGTCCCCTCTGCAGGAGGAAAGGCTGGATGGTTCCCTCCAGCCCTCACCCACTTCCCAGCTCTGAAATTCCTTCCTAGGTGGGATCTCAGCAAAAGGCTCTCCCCCCAGAGGGTGGTCGGGCACTGGAACAGCTCCCCAGGGCAGTGGGCACAGCACCAACCCTGACAGAGTTCAAGGAGTGTTTGGGCAACCCTCAGGCACAGGGTGGGATTCTTCTTGTTGTCCCGTGCAGGGCCAGGAATTGGACTCGATGCTCCTTGTGGGTCCCTTCCAACTCAGGGTATTTTATGATTCTCTCTGAACGCGCCTTCAGATTTTGGAAATTCCAGCCCATCCTGCTGCTTGGAGAGCCAGGCTTTAATTGAGCAATGCTCCAGGATCAGCCCCTCGCCGTGCCCCACACCCCTCCCCGCTGCCCTCCACATCCAGCCCGGCAGGGAAGAGTTGAACTCTTTTCAGCACATGAAATCCATGCAGCTTTCAATAAAAACCCCCAGACAACACACCACTCCAGCAGAACCCCCTTAATTCAGCTGCAGGATTTCAATAAAGGGAGACATCTGAGGGAAATTGGATAACTGGAAGGCAAGGCACATGCTCACTGCTGAGCTGAGGCAGATAGCACAGGCTTTGAAAAGCTCTCTGATTTACTTTTACAGAAGGAAGAAGGCAAAAGGCAAACCTCATGTGAAAGAAAGCCTGGAAAAACCGAGCCTTGCAAAGGAAACAGGACGGATCATGGATCCCACCACCAATTTGGGGGAGTTTCAAGGTTGTTTTGCAGGTAACAGCAGAGATCTCTAATTAAACACTCATCACGTGGTCCACTCAAGGGCTGTGGCAGAGATTTCTCCTCTTGGCCTCCCACTTTGCTGTGGATCCCACAGCAGTGCAACCACCTTCCCTCCATCTTCCCCAGGGCACTGGAAGCAGCAGGAACCCACGATCCAAAAAATGTTCCCTGGACCGGTGAGCAAGGAAAAGGAAAGGGCTGGCAGAGAGGATGGGCCAGACTGGCTCACAGATCCTTGGCTGTGGGTAAAGCAGGAGCTGTGCCAGCTGTGCCCTGCACGGACACAGGTTTTTCCATGGATCCCCCTGCTATTTTATCCTGAGCTTTGAGCTCTGGCTCCCCAGGGATGTGGAGCTGTGGGATCTCCTCCAGCCTGGGGTGGAGTGCAGGAGTGCCAAGCACCTCCTTCTTTTCCACACAACGCCAACAAAACCACTCTTTTCAGGATCACTGCAGGTTTTATTCCCTCACCTTCTTCCCCACGCGCCTTACTCGCCTTGCATCGTTGTACAGCAGATTTCAGAGACTCAGCAGCAGCAAAAAAAAGTCAAAAAATTGTATTAAAAGTGTCTCCAAAGTCGGACAAGCCCACTCTGTTGATTGTGTTCTCCCTCTCCATCATAAAGCACAAATAAGATCCTTTCCAAAGTGCCTGGAGCATCCTCCCTCTCATCACTTCCAGGGACAGAAATGAGGATGTTCACGCAGAGTTTGGGCCATCCAAGCCAACCAGCAGAAAGAAGAGCCCCGAACCATTTAAGGGCTCAAATGCTATTTAGAAAATATTTCTTTGAAAAGAAAAAACCACATAATTTGCCAGAGATTCTGCAGCAGGGTGATTTTCAGATGGGATGTGAAGTCACATTTAGCTGCATTCAGGCTGTGCCTCCTGTACAGCTGCAGGGAGGAGCAGGCCCGGCCTGCTGGAAGCAGGTGCTGCTGCCAAGTCCCTCATCATCTCCAACCCCGCCTGAGAAGCACCAGCACAACAGCAGGTTATTTTGGACGCTTCCCTTTGCATCCCAGCCCAGCCTGACTCTGATTAATTAATGGAGCCTGCTGAAATCCCAGCCTTAGCTACTCTGGCTGCTGCACAGCTGCCTTCCACTCCCACTGGAGAGGCTTTGTATTTACCAAGGATTAATTAGAGGAATGTGAAGCACCATTTTCTAGGCAGGGGAAATTATCAGCTCTCTCCCTGCCCTGTAACAAGCCCATACTGGGGCAAGCCTGAAAAGGGAGCAGGTAGAAGTGGCTCCTTCTCGCTCTGCACATCTGCCACTTTTCGCATTTCACTGCTCGTGCTGCCCCACGTGACGAGCACTTCACTCCTGCTAGACCTGAACAGGCAACATCCTTGTGGAAGATGGAGCTGGAGTCTCTCTCTCTCTCTCTCTCTCTCTGCAGATTAGACCAGAGCTGGTCCTCGAGACCATCCTGACAGTCAGAGCCACCAAAAGAGAAGAGCTGCTCTCTCCCAGGGCTCCCCCGACCTCCAGGAGCTGCCAAACGAGTGATTCTGCCAGAAAACCACGAGCAACAAATCCTCTCCCCCCCACTCCACAAGCCCTCCAGACCAGGCTGGGCAGGCATCTGTCAGGAATGACCACAGGTAACCCTGCCCACCAGAAGAGAAGGGGACAGGGGGGTCACCCAAGATCTCTCCTCCACCTGAAGTGCTGTCATTTCCCGGCCAGCAGTCCAGGCACAGCTGTTCCTCCTGGTGGCAATATCTGCACCAACACCAGCAATTGCAGCATGAAGGGAGGGCTTCAAGCAAATCCCCATTTGGAAACAACTGGAAGAAATGTCAGGGAAGGCCGAAGGCTGTGACGGAGGGCGAGCGTCAGTGGTAAATAACCGCTCAGCTAAATTTAGGAAGGCAGGTTGGGAGCTCTCCATGACCAGTTGGGCGTCTTCGGTTCAGACCACTGAGTCAACTGGAAACATTTAACTGTGACAGTGATGGGCTTTATAGAGAACTCCAAGACAAATGAAGGGAAAAAGGTTATCTAATAATTACAGTCCCTGTTTCACATCCAGCTGCATCCACGGCTCAGCCTGACCTTTGAAGAACAATGAATAATGCACCATTCTGGTGAATGTTCCCCTTCCTGGAGACACCATCAGCACACTGGTAAAAGAGAGCCTCTCCTGTTTGTCCTTTACTCACTGCTTGGTTCAATTTCTTTATGTAAGAGGACCTGGAAAGTCAAGAAATATCACGCCTGTTCCCAAAATATTCCCACTGTAACTTCCCATTATTAAACTCCTCAAACCACTGGTGCTCCAACATCTGCTGCAGGAGAAGCAGCAGTGGAGCAAAGCTGTTGTGAAACTACTGGGTCAAACTGATCTCTCTGCCTTGCAACACCAATAGGAAACCAATCTCCAGTGCTCCAGCTACCGATCTCCAAGACATCCAGAAAGATGGCATGGCAAGGGAGCACAACCCCCTGCATGGGAATGCAGTGATTTCCCACGCTGTAAAATCAACTGCAGTTCACCTGCTCTGCAGCGTGGCTTGTTCCAGGCAGATCTCACCTTTAGCCTGGCCCTTTTCTTGCATCCAAAATTCAAAGTATTTTTGTGGAATTCCACTGGCTTCAGACCAGGCCCCACCAAAGCAGGCCCTGCGAGCACCAAGCCCCATGACCAACTGTTGGCTCGCGTGGCACAGGGGGAGCAGAGACTCAGGGCAGGAAGATGTTGTGCCAAGAGAGATGAGTGGCCAAGAAACACCGAAAACTCTGCACCAGAACGAGGGGGGAGATGGAACTCATTGCTGACACTGGGGCTTGGGAACGCGCCAGAGCGTTTTAGGCGCCAGCAAGCTGCTCTGGCCACTGGCTACTAACCAGGGGGGATCATCCTGGCAGAATTCACAGCAAACCCCTGCACCTGCTCAGATGAAGCACAAAGATAAGAAGGTCCATTCCAAATGGGGAGAGCACAAGGGGACGGTCCCACTGGTGCCCCCCCCCCCAGCACTCGCTCGTGTCGACACGTCAGGATGGGAATGCTGAAGGGCTGGGGGTCACAGGGAGTTTGTGCTCTCCCCCAGCCTCCCCAGGAGGTGTGTGATGAGTTTCTGCAGGGCCTCAGCCCGCACCACCGAGACGCGCAGCACTTCCTCGTGGGTGGCCTTCTCTCCGCTGTCGTAGCTCAGCACCGCTTTGTTGGTGATGAGGGAGATCCCAAGCACTCGGAGGCCACAGTGCCTGGCCACAATCACCTCTGGCACGGTGCTCATGCCTGCGGTGGGAGAGGAAAGGAAAGGACCAGAAACGAGTCAGGATTTACACCCAACAAAACCCCTCCGAGGCTGCAACCCTGACCCCAAAGCACGTGCCCTTGTCTCATCCCCCCCCACCTCTCTGCTCCTGAGCCCTGCAATGGTTAAAGGCTGTGACACTCAGAAGGCTCAGATAGCTGCAGCAGTACAGTTACAACTCTGCTCAGCACAATAAACCCCCAGCATTTGATCCCCGAGCCCCTCCTCGAGACGTGTCAGGCTGCTTGCAGGGAAGGACTAACGTGCTGTGTCATTTGGCTCTTCTCTTCCCCAGCTAAAGAAGATGTTGCAAAGAAAAACAGCTTTGAGGGGAGCTGAGCTCTTTCCCTCACACACGAGGAATCTGCAAAGTATTAATGAACAGACTTCCACGAGCCAAGCTGGAGGAATCATGTAGATCGTGGCTCTTGCTTTCCTTGCACACAGTTGGGAAGGTATCTGTGATTACCACCCCTAAACAAGACTGGTTTGGAGGGAGAAAACGCAGTGAAATCTGTACAGTGTCAGAATTTAAAAAAAAAAAAAAAAGAAAAAAATTAGAAAAAGGCTTTATTTCTGATTGGGCCCCACTCAGCCCTGGTGAAGTGGAGCCATCTGAGCATAAGAGACTTGTGTTTGGGAAATAAATGCTGGGATCTCTGTCCTGGGCAGCCGTAAGCACAGGGGCTTTCTGCAGATCCGTCACTAAACCACCGCAGAACGGAGCAAGAAACGCTCAGAGCTCGTTCCTCCAGCCCCAGGAGACTTCAGAGACTCAAAGGCTGAAGCGAGTCAGCCCTTGAGGAGGATTAACTGCCCAATCCACGTGCCCAACCAAAGCCTGGCAGCCCAGGCTGGGCTCACCCACGGCGTCGGCTCCCAGCGCCTGCAGCAGCCGGCACTCGGCGATGGTCTCGTAGCAGGGCCCGGCCAGCACGCAGTACACTCCTTCCCGGGTGAAGCTCAGCAGGCCCAGCTCCTGGGCGCTCTCCTTGGCCAGGCCCAGCAGATCCTGGTCATAGGCATCTGACATGCAGGGGAACCTCACCCCAAACCTGCAAGGCAGCAAAGGACACGGCCGTGGGACGGCGTGAGCCACCCTGTGTCCTGTGGAGAAAGGGGAAATGGCAAAGGCAGAGCAGCCTCTCTGATTCCACCCTTATCATCAGATCATTCTCAAATCATGGAACAGTTTGGGTTGGAAGGGACCTTTAAAAGGCCATCTCAGCCAAACCCCCCGCAATCAGCAGGCACATCTTCAGCTAGATCAGATCGTTCACAGCCCTGCCCAACCCGACCTTGAGCGTTTCCAGGAACAGGGCATCTACCACCTCTTGTTTCTGCAAGATCTAATCACCCCAAACTCTCAGCACACAGAGGGTATGGCTGTTGGAAGGTCTGACACTGCTTTTCTACCGCACAAACCCTTCTGTAATGGCCATTCAACTTCTCCTGTCTCCAGGGAGCGCTGATGGCCAGCTCCTTCCCTCCCCAGTGATTGCTCATAGTGACTTTTAAACACTTGTCCAGCAAACATTTGCTGCCCTCTGGGCTCCCTGAGGCACAGAGTCCCACAGGTTGTGCCAGGGAGGGGGTTTGAGCAGGCCCTGATGGAGCACCAGTCACCACATTTAAAGCCCATCATCCCAGCAGGCAGCTACGAACATCTTGGAGCTCCAGGGCTGTATTTTAGGGAGCCTTCACCCTCTGCTTCAAGGCTGGGTCTCTTGTTTGCCTTAGGACTGAAGATAACACCTCAGTCCTGCTCCTGATGGAGTGAATCTTTCTCCTGGCTCATGCAGAGCAGAGTGGATGGCAAAGATTGTTATGTTATGTTATGAGGAAACCTGGAAAATAAACTCCTGGCCATGTTCACCAGTGCAGTTCAGGAGGAGTGGACCAGGTCCCTCATTTAGGCTATTAAAGCTCCTGCTTGTTGACATGCTCTTCCAGCTGAATGCTCAGGGCAGGAGGTGGCTTATTTTGTTTTTATAAACAGCAAATATTATATAAATAAAAACAAACTTTCCCTTCTGGTCGAAGGTAATAAGTATTCATCACTATGAAAATTGCTTCCCTTTCCTGAAGGATGGCCAGCAATGCAGAAGCCAATCTCTAATTTATTAAAAAAAACATTATTTCCACATCACTTCATTGCCTCTGGTTTTGCTCTGCTGTGCTCAGATAAATCCTTCCTGGTAGCTCAGCCGGACAGGATCTCAGGAGTTCGCTCAGCTAAAGCTCTGCAATACTTTGAAACCTGATTCATCAAGACCTTTTGCCCGTTTCGATGCCTTGGTCAGCAGCACAAGAGTCACCTCCCAGAGCACTGCAGTCTCCACCAGGCAGCTGCAGCTCTGCTGCCTTTGAACCTTGGCCAGACGCCGCTGTTGGATTGGCGTTTCCCCTCCCGCTCCGGAGCAATTATGCGAGTCCAGGGAGCTTTCAACGCTCCCTTGTGGCTTCCCTGCTTTTGATCATCCTTTCCTCCAACCCACAGCGCTACCTACAAAGATGTGAAGATGTTCCACCTCAGCTGGCTGCTGTCCCCTTGCCATGGCATCACTGCTCAGGGTTTGTTTCTCCTGAGGCAGCTGCCAGCACCTTCTGGATTCTTCAGAAGCAGGAGCTGGCTCTGCTGTTACATCAGGAAGGAACTAACTGAGTGAAAGCCAGGCAGGCCACCTTCTTCTTCTCAGCACAACTTTCTCTCTGGAAAGATCCAAGGACAGTCCAGATGCCTGCCCTGCAAACGTGCCCATTTTTCAGGATGAAGGGACCAACCCAACAACAGATTTAACCATCTTGTTATCTGAACTCACCCTCTGCTCACAAACTACCACCTCCTCCACCACCTCCTTCCCCAGCCTGGCCTCTGGCTTCACACATCTGGCTTCCTCCTGGCCTTCTTGCCTGCCAGGTTGGTTAGGAAAGAATTCTTGCTCCTGTTTTCTCCTTATCACAGCCCAGCCTCTTTCCTTCCTGCCACAAGGCTCGTGAATCTTTCCTGCTTCCATGCTGATTTTCCTGACAATCCACGTGCTTGCCTTTGTTCAGCCTGGATCTCCAGTGGACGTGTCATCACACTCTTTTTAGCCCCATTTGAGGGCCAAAGGGCTTCTTTTTGTGAACACTGGTCTACCTGGAATGTAACCTCTCATGCCATGACCTCACTCATTGCTGGTTGCTTTCCACCCTACCAGACTGGGGGTGTCTTGGAAGGATTTCAGGATCATAAATTCATGTTGGAAAGGACCTCAAGGCCACCTAGTCCAAAATCCTGCTCAAAGCAACTTTATGTCCAGTGGCCACTGCAGTCTGGGGTGAGGATATGTTGGAATCCCCTCTCTGCACTGACCACAGGGGAAAGATTCTGCTGCACAGCCACCCCAGTTTAACAAGCTGCATACAAGGGTTGGTCATCAGGAGATTTTAGAGGTTTTATCTTTGCCCTGGTCTCTGTTGTTCCCCTTCCATCACAGCAGAAGTGGCTGTTGACAAACACAGGCTGGGGACACCGCAGTTCACCGACTGCTCCATCCAGAGGAACCAGCAGACAGAGGGGCTGACACCAAGAGACAGCAGTGGGTCTCTGGCAGGTGGCACAGCTGGTCATGTCAGGAGAGGATCAGAAGGTTCTTGCATGGCACAGAACCTTCTGGGCTTGTAAGAGTAAGCGAGAGGCAGGGCAGGGTGCTTGGGGAGGGCAGGGCAGGTGGCACAGCACACACAGCCACTGCTTTAACTCCTCCCTCGTGCACACCTGGAGCCAGACTCTGCTCTCAGTAAACACTTGTCAGCAGGCACAACAACAGGCAGTCCCAGCCTGTGGCTGTGGAGGAAGAAAGGATTAACTGGTAACGTGGAGCTGGTGCCTTCTTACCTCTCATCATTGGGTCCCCGCAGAGGGTTCTGCCCTCCCAGGCCAAACAAGCTGATGTGGTCCCTGATGAACATGATGTCCCCCACTTGGAAGTGGGGATTCAGCCCTCCAGCAGCATTTGTCACAACCAAGATCTCCACCCCCAGCAGAAAGAAGACCCTGATGGGAAAGGTGACCTGGAAGAAGAACCAAAGGCACACGTGCAGTGAATGTCACAGCCAACAAACAGCTGCTGCTACTGCACGTGTAGTGTCACAGTTCAGAGTGCAAAGAAGGGTCTGTGTACAGAGACTACACAACTCACTCCAGTTTTAAACATTCCTCTGATTTGAACAGAATTTTAATGGTTTTTAAACATATTAAAACATAATCTTGTAATGAACACCACTAAAATCCAAGCCCACGTTTCCTACAGCTGCGCTGAGGTCAAATGAAGGTGGTGCAGAAAGAACATGCAGATTGTTCTTCCTCACTGCCAAGGCCTTGCAGAGATCAAACCACCGTGCTGACTGAAGTAACTGCTTATGCATATCGCCCTGGAGTGGAGTCCAAAGTTAAGGAACAATTGGGAACTGAAAAAGAAAATTTAAAAGCTTGATTTTGAGGAGTCACAAAGGAACTCCCTCTCAAATGCTAGAGGAGCTGTGAGCAGAAGATTTCCTAATTGGACACCACTTCTTCCAGAAACTACTTAATTTTCATAGACAAACATGTCTTGATAAAGCTAGTTATGTACTGAGTGATTTTAAAAGAGCTGTTTTTCTGTAAGAAGCTGCGTGGTGCCAAATATTGCAGTTTACATCCAAACAAAAATCAACCTCAGCCAAGTGGAAAATCTCAAAGCTATCCAAATAAAAAAAAAGAACATACAATGCTATCAGGGAGTAAATAAACAAATATTATGGGTGTTTTCTAACAGAAATGTACACATGTGTATGTTTATGCAACTCCTAGATGTTAGTTGGAAGTTGCAGCAGCCAGGGAGTTTTTCCTAGGAGAAAAAAAAAAAAAAAAAAAAAAAAAAGAAGCTGTAAACTACACAAATGCAAAAGATGATTAAAATAGATTATTCTTATCAGAGTTTTCTGGTTGCTGATTTAAATCGTGATTAAACCGACTGAGTGAAAGAATGTAAATTAATCTGCCTGCTATGATAAACTATTTTCCCCTGCAAGTAGAGCAGGGTTAGCACAGCACCAGCTTCACCCAGCAGCAGCCTCTCGGTTTGAACTCCCAGTTCCATTTTTTGGGGAGAAATCTGAAATCTAAGAAGGACTCATTTCAATGCAAGTTCACTGTCAGAGCTAAGGTCCTGCAGCGAGATAGCAAAGCAAGAAGCCATTTTTGCCTTTTTTTTGTTTTGTTTTTTTACTCTCCCCGTTTTCCTCCAGGAGGACTCACCGTGCTGGCAGAGTAGCCCTCGTAGGAGTGGAAACGCCCCTGCATGCACACGCAGGGCTGCCCGCTCAGCTCCCCGAACACCAGCCTGCCCACGTGCCCTGCAACTGTAAATTGGCACAGCGTCATCGCCCGCCCGGCGCCCCAGGCCCCAGGCCCCGCCAGGAGCTGGGTCTGCTGTACAGCAGGAGCTGCAGTTGAATAAATAAGCGCATATCTGCGTGCCGTGGGGTTTCTATTTCTGCCCTGTGAACACACGGTTTTCCCCCCGTGGAGGGGTTGGCGTGCGGGGCAGCGCCGAGCGGTGCGCGATGACATGAGCGGTGTCTGTGCCGCTCCTGCCCTGGGCTCTGCCGACCTGTGCTCCGTGGGAAGTGAGGGATGTCCTCATATGGAATGACTGTCTTGTTCTCCAACACGTCAGCCAGGCCTCCCAGGCCGGATCCGCAGACGACGGCGATTTTGGGGCGCTGGACGGTCCGGCCGCGTAACCAATCGGCTGTTTCCTTGTACACCTCGTAGCTGTTTCTGCAGAGGGAAAGCAGGTCAGGGAGACTGAGCAACCCATTCAAAGAGCAAGCTTCAAAGGACACAAGCCCTGAAAAGGGGCCAAAAAAAAAAGGAAATCTCATTAAGGCTGTAACAATAGAAGCTTCGCTGCTATTATTGAAGATGTATCGCTTTTAATCTCATGTATATACCCAGGGAAACCATTTGAATCGTCTTTGCCGGTTTCACTCTGCAGATGAAGAACGGCTAATGATACCTGGATCACAGATATGTCACAAGGCATAACCACTCCTGCTGCTGATGGGCTCTGGTCTCTCCAGAGTCACCGAAGGAAGGCAAAAGCACAGTCAGACCTGTGTGTGCACAGGGATGTGCAGCCTGGGATGGGGAAATCCAAGAGCATGGAACTCTGAAAACACCTGAACAGCACGGCTGGAGTGATGTGCTGATGAAGAAGCAGGCACTGTCCTCTGCAGCACTACTGAGACATGGGGCAAGAATCATCTAGAGAGGTGGAGGAGCCGATCTCTGTAAGTGGTGAGTGCCATCAGCTCCCAGTGCCTCCCTCAGGGCCTGGTGCCACACCTCAAACACCCACCTTCTGCATCCCCCGTGCCTTCAGCTCGGCAGGATAAACATGGAGATCTTACTCGGCCTCTCCTCTCCAGCAGGGTGGGCAGGGGGAACAGCCCAGTCCAAGGTGAGAGGCCCAAGGACATCAATCCACAAGGGAAAACCAGGAATTTGGGCTCCAGAGTTTATGCTGCCTGATTTAAGAGGGGTTCTGCTCCAACACCTTGGCAAAAAAAGCCTTACCCAGCACTGAGCCCCACTGCTGGAGGGTGGGATAGAAGCTGGTTAGTGTGTACACTGCACATTGTGAATTTGTCTCAGTGGAAGGGAGAGAAGTTCCATTTTTAACCTCTTAGCCCAGCACCCAGGTGCTTTAATCACAGTTTCGAAACCAAATCAATAGGGGGATAATCCCATAATCCTGTTTCCAACAGGACAATGCAGATACTTTCTGAGAGTCAATAGCAAGGTCGATTGGAAGGTCTCCTCAAAAGCAGGGGCATCAATGGCAGTTCTTGGTAGCAACTCAATCATTACCATTGATGAGTTGAATTAATGACTGTACAAGGTAGAGGATGAGGTGCTGGAGTGAACCAACATAGGCAGGGGTAAAGAGGTTCTCTATATGAAAAGCTGATCTGCTTATTGAGAGGTGAGAGAATCAGACACTGCAAGGCTGCAGGTGATGTAAAATCGACTGGAGGTGCTGATGAGCACTCACTGTCTGAATGTTTATTTTTTATATTGTTGTTGCTGTTTTTTTTTTTTTAACCAAGTCTCTCGATTTCCAGAGGTGTAAACCTCAGTGATGTTGTGATGCTGCTGTCTGCAGCCTTAGAGGATACACAGAGAAGCTTTCACAGTGGTGCTCCTCACCCCAGGAGGTGCCAGGCCCTTGGCTAAGAGGATTTGACTGTCTGCGTTCGAGTGGCTCCTCCAGCTGAGGGATCAGACACTGAAACAGAGGATTCATTTCTGTGTTTTTTCCTTCCCTTACACTGACAGGGTAGGTAGCTATTGCAACAGATATTTCCTGCGAGCTTTTCCTCTCCCAGCTGTCCAGCTCCTACTGCAAGTCCTGTCCAAGGCATTGCACAACAAACTTCTGTTCCTGGTTACAAACCGTGATGTCAAAAATGCCCGAAAATATCACAAACCTGCAATCCAATAAGAAGGAGTAACTTCCGTACACATGGATTAAAATGAAGAGTCCTACTTAGCTGCAACACTTTTCAAAGGAAAAGTCTGGAAATGAGAAAGTTTATTTACCGTCACATATCGTTGAATTTCCCAAGTGCACTGTGAGCTCCTGAAATAAGCAGGAGCTGTGAAAATGACATTAATGAGGTCTACACTTGACTATATTATCACTTGCTCCCAGACAAAAGCTTTAAAAGTGCTTTACATACATTAGTGAACTGTTTCACCCAATTTCTCTGTTGAATAACTGTAATCCTTGTTTAGAAATTCAAGGGAACCAAGAGAATTTCTATGTAATACCCAAGTTTTGGACATACCTGTGGCAGGCATGAGAAAAGAATGAGGTCACCAGGATCTGCTCTTGATCATAAACCCCTTTGTCTCTGTTGTTTTTGTTTTTTTTTTTTTTAAAGTGCATACACCCTTGCAAAATAACATCAAAGAATGGATATTATTCCTACATCCTCAGAAATTTTGGGAGTGTGGGATAAATCATTCCATGTCTGCTGAAGATACCGGGACTGACTGAGCTGTGCCAAGTTCCATCCAGGGATTTTTATTTTTTTTTTTTTTTCTCTATTTTTAAACAGAAGATATTGAAATGCTTCTTATCCAAAGAACTTATCCAAAAGAACTAAAACTCCAGTGCCTCCTTGGTACCTGTCCATCCCAAAGGCTTTGGGCACCCCAGAGCTGTCCCCAGTGCTGAGAGCACAGCCATGCCAAAATTAATCTGCCTAATTTCAGAAGCCTTCCAGGTGCACACATCAAAGGGACTGGAGAGCACTGATAATTCCTGAACAGGAGGGAGATACCTGGGCAGCAGGAGCAGAGGGGGAGCTCCATCTGTGGGTGACCAACCACGCTGTTTAGCCTGGAACTGCACGAGCACGAGGCCTGCTCGAGCTTTTTGACAGCTTGAATTAATAGATGTAGAGCACAAAGGCCCCTCCAGCTACTCTGCCTCCAACAATGCACACCTAATAATAGTGCTGGGTAGCATTGCTGTGGATTAAATCACAGGATCAGCTGAAAGCACAATCCCCTTTGTTGTGATTGCTGTCGTCCACTGGAGAAACCCATCTGCTGCAGAACACGGGACCGTCACCGGCGACAGATCCTTTATGGCACGAAAAAAGCCCCACCCTCACTGTGCTCCTGGGAAGGTTGGAAGCAAATCCATGTTAAAAAGCAGAGCTATCCCACTAACCAGTCAAGCAATGGTTTGGGGGCACACAGCCACACGTATTCACAGTCTACGCATCTCCACACGAGATATTTGTCTCTTCTGGCCCATAACCTCTCCCAAGGTCACCTACTGCTGCCATCTTTCATAGTCCCAGCACCTGACGCAGCCAGATGGCCAGATTCCTCTTCAATAATACGATGTTGACTTCTGAGCAGCCTTTGCCTGACATTTATTGAGCGCCCGGTAGGACGAAGAGGAAAACAAGGTGAGGAGAAGCGATGCCATCTCACCAGCCCCTTCCAGCCAGGAATGTCTGTGCATCCATCCCCTGTTTCACAGCACCTTACCTGTCTTCCTCAGCATAGGCCATCCTCCTCCTGTCTGCTTAACCAAAAGACAGGGATGGGGGGAGCTGGAAAATGGAGCTGCAGGTTTTTATTTGGCCTGTTGAACCTGCGGGAGCCGCCGCTGCCTCCGGGAAGGGAGTCCGGGAGGTGTGTCCCTGCTTCCCTCTGCTCTCCCCTGAGCATCTCTAATCCCCGAGTAGGAGGGGCATGGTCTGCTTTTCTGGCCTCACCCCACATGACACAGATGACCTAGAGCTCTGCAGAAAGCTCACACACACAGCGCACACGCGCTCCACGACGCAGATGAAGCCCAGAAATTTCACGCGACTGTCGGGCGGCTGACGAGGGATCCGCCTGGATGTGCACGCTCCTGCGTCACCTGGGAACCAGCTGGTGGCCGGAGTCACCTGCTCCTCTGCAATTCCAAGGCCTGGGAGCGTGGCACGAGCTCACTGGGAGCGTGCAGGCTCTGTGAGATTGACCCGTGCTGGTCACCACCGCAGTGAGACCTTTCCACGGCCCCCGTCATTGTCCAACCATTCTTTCACGGCAAACAGGGGTGATGACTCCTTAGCTCCTCCCACAGATTTTTTTTTTTTTTTTGCTCACATTTAATCTCCTCACCCTTCCCCAAAAGGAAATACTGCCTTGAGATATGCTAAAATTCTGTTCAGCTGAGTATGGGAGACACAGGGTAAAAAAAAAAAGGCAGAGGTCCCACCATCTGCCCCTCTAATTTCAGCTTTGCTTTGTATGAAAATAAAGCTTCAAAACAGCCTTGTGATGTGGATCTGTTTGTGAGGCGGTGTGTGATCCCAACAGCTGATGTGAACCACGTTTTACAGAGCCAGAGATGTTTCCAAGACAATGGAATGCCAAGAAAATTCAAGAAAAGCAGTGATGAGTAAAGACCTTACAGGCCCCAGACAAAAGGCCACAGCTAAAAAAATGCATGCACAGCTTAATAGCTCCAGAAGGGACACACGGGGGTAGAATTTATAAATATCCCAAACAGGGACAAAACCTCAATCAGAACTTGTCAAGTCCTAGACAAATCAGCCAGTCATGTAAAGATAAAATTTAGAAAACTGGGCAGCACCCATTTCAAGTCTCAGATTTCTTATTGCTTCCATTGGTCTTTCCCTCCTGGCCTTGAAGACCCCACATCAAACATCCCATTTGCTGCCCCAGAAAACTGTCTCAGAGAACTTCCAATTCAAACAAAGTAATAAATGCAGCAAGAAAACCTCTGGGCATGTTTAGAGAGAGAGATATATATACTTCATTCTGGAAAACAAGAACCCAGTGCCAGCACAGGCTGGGAGTCTGTAACAACCAGCAGAATTTAAACATCAAATTCTTTTTTGTTTCTTGAGAGGTACAATGAAACAGAAAGTGGATCTGATCAGAAACCATAATAAGGGCCCTTTTTCCCTCAAGTTCTTGACCTTCTCCCTTTCTTCTGTGTGTTCCCACTTCCACTCCATTCTTATTTTTTTTAGAAAGCTTAAAATGCCTCTTCTTCTAATGGTGCCACAGGACCCAGCAGTGCCCAGCTGCCCTGGCATGGTGCATCTTGCTCTCAGTTTGCTGGAGGCAGTGGGAAAAAAAAAAAAAAAAACAACATTAAGGGTCTAATATTGCTCTATAAATCATTTCCCCTCTCGTGCCCTCTTTCTAACTCCGTTTGCACCACGTTCCCCCTCATTTTTCACACGTCTCCTTTTTGTCATTCCCACTCTTGTGTTTCTGATGCTCACTCATCTCTGTCTCTGCCTGCTCTGGGTGTGTCCTCTGTTCTCTACAGCTGCACAAAACCCAGCAGACTGAGAGCAGAGATGGTTGCAGGCAGGTTTAACTGCACCAAACCCTGTGCCCAGAGAAGGCCCACACTGCTTAGCCATGAGCCACCGTGCCAGAGGACCCAAACCAGGCTCTTGGAGCCACTTCCCAGCCCCCTCGAGGCTTTTTGCCCTCTGGAAGACCGAGCTCCTCCTGCCATCACTCAGGACTTCTTTGAAAGCCATGATTTGCTCCCATTAATTAAATTACAGAGCAACGTTAGGCCCTTAATGTCGATGTTCCATACAGTTTGTTGGTATCAGCAGAGTTCTGATGCCCCCCAGATATGTTCCCTTCTTTAGCCTTAATCTGATTACGTTCATTAATCTGATTCTTTTTTGCAAAGCAGACAAGAGAGATCAGACAGCCTGAGAGAGCTCTTCCCAATTTGCCCTCATCTAAGACTATCTCCTTCCTAGCTTGGATTTACATGGAAAACAGGATTATCAAAAAGGGATCATTTTATCTATCTTCCTGCAGCGTCTGTTATTCAACAGTAACAAAAATTACTTGAGTTTTTAACCTGTAATGCTGCATCAGCTGGACAAGCACAAGATAAAGGTTCACCCTACTAGGAAAAAAATTAATTTGAGCTCTGAGGGCATTCATGCCAATTAGACTGTAGGGAGTGTTCCAAAGCAGACCTGGTCAGAAAAATAACCTATTGAATAGATTGCATAATCTCCCCAAAAAAAGCATTGACGGTCTTCTGTCCTGAAAGAATCTCCCTCATCTCTTTCTGTATCTATGTGTCTGCAGCAATTTGTACCCATAATCCTGATTTTACTGACTTGGCTGTCATTCAAGCCCTGCTTCTGCAGCTACAACTTCATCTGCTACGGGATGCAGACACAATCACCTGAAATCATTTTCTAGCAGCGCTTCACATTCCCACAGCAATTCCTACCCGAGGAAGCGTCATGAAGTGTTTCTCAAGCGTTTCATCAAAACCTTTAATTAATGCTTTAGGGTGAGTCTGACGTTATCACAGCATCAAATTTCCCTGGCAGTGTTCTCCCCCACCATGCACATCCCTCCTTTGGGAAGGGGAACTGAGCTGCAGAAACATCAGCAGGGGGTTCTGCACCGTGGGGACAACTCTGGTTAGCCTAGTCCAGAGGAAAGGATCCCCCCCAAGCCCTACAGGCATCGCCACACCCTTCCAGGTGCAGTGCTCAACTGCCTTGGGGGATTTTTCCCAGTTTCCTTCATCCTTAGAAAAGCCAGGATTCTGCCTCGGTGTTTTGGAGGAAGCTCTGAAAGGTTTTGCTTTTCTGCTGACTACTAAAAGCCCAGGTTCCAGGTTTGATTAAGAAAAATTACTAAATGCTGAGAACTAATCAGTGGTGTTTTTGCAGCAATTTGGAAACTTTTCATTTGGGAATCTCATCATTGTTTGTTAGCCTAGACAGCCACTGGAGTGCCACCAGCCACGGGAAAGTTTAATAAAATCAAATTAAACACCAGAAAAAGTTATTTCCCTACAGAGCGTTGGAACAGAAACCTCTAGCAAGATCTGCTTGAAGCGGTGCCCGCGCTGCTCACTGTTACATGGACAGGAAAGACATCTCTGCCCAGAGTGGATGCAGCGAAGGGATGGCCAAGGGAACAGAAAACCAGCCCTTCCAAGAGCTTGTCATGGTTAGCTGAGCAAAATAAGAGCAAGGCAATGCTCTGATGACAGCCTGAAAATGTTGCCATGGAGGCAGGAGAGATACAGAAACTTGAGACAGGCAGCAGGAAGCCGGGGAGATGCGTGCTCAGTTAGGCAAGACGTCAGGAAAAAAAGCCTCCAGCCGCCCAAAATGTGCAGCCCTGAACAGCCCTCCCGTGAGGGCAGTGGGGAAATGGCTTTTAGGGCAGAGATCAGTTCATGTGAAGGGTTTCATGGTGTTTACTGGTAGGGAGGCAGACACAGCACCCACAGATTGGAAGCCAGCTCTGTAAATAAACTCATCATCTTTGTAAGACTCGGGCACAAAGAGAAAGCAACTTGAGGAAACCTGTGAATAAATGATAGAACAGAAACCAGCAAAAGAGCAGAGATGCCTTAATGCCAGCCAACACTTCCATCTTCCAGCTCTAGAAGAGGTGTCAAACAGCAAAGGATAAGGCTGGGGTTGTGGCCAGGGGTGGGGATCTGCAGAAGCAAAAGCATCTGTGTCGAGGAACTCAGCGAGAAAGGGCATAAAAAGGACCTTCTGGGGATTTGAGGGAAAGGAGTTGTACTTTCTGAAGGGATAAAAACAGCCCAGCCAGGGATCAGCAGTATGTCAGGCTGGGGATGAATGGATGGGCTTTTTGCTTTGGAAGTGCTTTTGAGGCAGGGAAGAAATCAGAGAGCTCAGGAGAAAGTGTGGTGGATGGCTGAGACAACACTTTGGTGAGGATAAGTGGAAAAGAAACCACAGATCCCGGCAGGCTAGAGACTACAAAAGTCCAGGTACCCCTCTGGCCCACAACAAACAGAAATAGCTTGAGAAGAACTAAAAATTATAAGGAATAAGGAAGAAATGCCTGTCACAGAAGAAAACAATTCTCAGATAGTTAATCACAGCTCTGTGCATCACTAAAGATTCTAGAAAATAGATATATTCCCCTATTCAGCACAGGTAAATACAGCTCATATTCTGGCATCACAGCCAGCTGCTGGGCTGGGGCTCCAACGTGCTTCTCCACAGGAGGAATGTGACCTCTCCCTGGGAAGGACACTTATTCCTGCTAAAACAGCAGAAGCCCAAGGTTCATCCTGCTCTTCTCTGGGTCTGCTTTTCTCCTCACTAATCAGTAATACTTTCACACTGTGGAACTGGAATGCCAGACCTTTCCCCAGGCCCCAGGCCCATGTTCCCATTTCTCCAAAAGCCCTCCTAGGAAAGACACTGCCTTCTGCAGGTCAGCAGGTGAACACAGTGCCGTCTGTAGCTGTTTTCTGTCAGGATGTATTTGTGCTGTTCCAACAGGATCCATGCCTCCTCATTATCTCATTCGTGGAGCAATAATGCCACGTTATTGAAGAGTCTATAGGTTTTCCTTTTCGTTTCACTGATTTTTTGTTTAAATAAGCAAAGGTTGGACAAGCGTAGATCGTTTCACTAACTGTCCGCATTAGACACAGTTTACTGAAGTCTCCCAACTCCCCTTCCCTACAGGACCTGTGAATTTTCTGACAGGGTTCAGCATAGTCTTCCCAGAGGACTTCCTGCACATCCAGTGTGATTGAAAGGGCTCCCAAACGCTCCAGCAACACTCCCCAGCTCTGCCACACTGTCTAATGACACCACGTATCTACAAGGGAAAGGAAAAAAATCAGAGTGTGAGTATGTTGTTCTTAATGAGATGTTTAACTGCCCAGTATTCCCTTAAAGGCAGATGCTTCCACCTGGGGCTGTTGGTGCCACAGCTGTGCACACAGGTTATGGTCTGACTGGGAAAAGATCAGCTGTCAATCAGCTCTTAAAATTAGGTCCACAAAAGCAAGACTAATCCATGAAAAAAAAGTGCTCTGTTCCCATTTTAAGTGTGCAATGAAGATCCAAAAAAAAAGTATTATTATGCATGAGATAGAAGCATCTCCTCAGATTTGTGCTTTAACTTGAAGAGATTTCAGAAAACACAGGACGACTCCGAAGCTCACAAGCTGAGCTGAAGGTTTCATTTCGGGGAAAGCATCACATTGTTCTTAAGTGTGCTGCTCAATCACATTTATTTTAGCTAGGACTCTTGCACTGTCACATGCCCAGTGATGAATTGCTCTCTCCTGTGTTTTGGAAGAGCCTTATCTTCAGCAGTCCAGGAGAACTGACACCAAGAAGCTGCAAACCCCAGTAAAAGCCCAGCAGGGTAGGACAGAAAAGGTCAAGTCTTTCTTACACACCACTTCCCCCCACCAGCTGAATCGTAGTTTTCCTCTTGGCAGCGTCATCCAAACACTTAACAACCCAAGAACACGTGGAAACAGGTGATTTAAGCGGTTAAAGGAGAAATTGAAAAGAATCAACCCTTAAGCTCGGTGATTTAATCCCCCGTGGCCCGAGGTCTGGTGGTTGGTGTGTGAGCACAGAGGAATAACAAAAGGAAGGGAACTGAAACATCACAGCACCACTGCAGCTATCAGAAGGAAGGCCAAAAGCAGAGGAAAGCTCTGTTCAGGATTTTATTACCAACACAAGACACAAATGTTTCAGATGGTAACACGTTCTCACTAACTTTAGATTCTCAGGAGCTAGAAAAGATTTCAGCAGTGCCATGACTTTGCCCCAGCTCTCCCTCCCACCTTTACACAGCCAAACGTGTTGATTGATTACAAGCGATTTTCAAACAGGTCAGTCAAAGGGTGAAGAGGAACTGCAGGCACAGAAATCTTCCAGCTGCACCTCAACTCTTTCTCATTAGGGGAAACTTCTGATGAGGTAGCCAGTACCTTTTGGTTACACCCCTTATTAGGGGTCAATACGAGAGTTTTAGCTTTAAAAAATACATTATCTTTTTTGTTTGTTTTCTCCAAGGGGTTACAAGAGTTTTACTCCTGTATTTCTTTTCACATGTGGCAGTGGGCCTTTTCTATACTTAACATTCTTTCTATTTTGTAGTACTACTGTATCATTTTCAAAAATAGGCAAATAGCTTAAAAGAGAGGGGAGAAGTTGTCTGGCTATAGATTTCTTACTTTAACATATTAGTTCTCTTATGTACCCAGAGCAGGAGAAAAGATCACCTTCCTATGCATTACTACATCCTTAAGATGGACATGGCAAGGGTTTTTTTTTTCCAATTACTGGGCTTTTAGCAAAATTTTCCCAAGTTACATCATCGATTGTGGAGTTCCTTGTACTCATAGCACTGAATTCCTGTACCAAAACTCCTTCTGGCTTAGGGCTGGATTGAGCTTTGTGAAGAAGAAATATGTGAGAGTACAAAAGTCAATAGTAGGAGGCATTAAAGCCAGAGGATTTCTGCTTACTCATGCTCCAACGTTGGCTGTTTGTTCCCAAACGGGCTGGCAACGCCTCATTCCTGAACATGCATATAGGAAAATCCCCACAATATTTAAAGTCTCGGGAGCAACCTGCACCTGCTGCCTGCTGTAATAATGAATCTGCTTTGACCTTCCTGCCTCTGTGTGCAGATTAGACGCTGTTTTCCCGTTTTAAAAGTATCTGTTGCTGCAACGGGTGCTCGATGATGCTCATTACGGCTCTGTTAATATTTCAAGGCTCGCGCCTCGCACTAATCCAGGCTGGGTGTAACAAGTCTCCTGGGGATTTGGAAAGGGCAGCAAAGCGGGTTATTGTGCGAAGAGTCTCCTGGAGGACCTGCCTCGTGGGTTACAAAGCCAGCCGAGGAGGAGCATCCCTGCCCACCCTGGAGGGGCAGGCCAGGCTGGAGACCCAGGGCGTGCTGAGCCGTGGGAGATGAAGGAAGGAGTTTGGTCCCCGGACAGCCCTGCAGGTCCCAACCCCGCTTCCCTCCCGTCTCCTCCCCGAGCCCCCCACCCGTGTCCCCTCGCGGTGAGCGCTATAAGAGGGGGATAACTCCCGGCAGCGCTCCCCGTCCTGCCGGGCCGCCCCGCTGCTGGCAGGCGGCTCCCCCGCTCCCCCCTTCCCCACAGTGCAGCCCCTCTTCAGCGCCCGAGGAGGAAACGGCCTCGACCTCCGCGCTGCCCGAGCCTGCCCTGCCCTGCCCCTGTGCCCCCCGCCCGCCCCAGCGCTCCGAGTCGAAGCCCCGGCAACGCAACCATCACCGGCCGGGCCGGGGCGGTGCCCGCGGCGGCCCCGAGAGGAGGGAGGGAGGAAGGGAGGGAAGGAGGGAGGGAGGTGCGGGCGGCGGGGCCGGGAGAGGGGCCGGGCCGGGCCGGGCCGGCGGGTAAGAAGGAGCCGGTGGGAGCTCCGGTGGGAGCTCCGGGCCGCGCTGCAGCCGCGGCCTCGCGTAGGGAGCGGGCGGCGCGGGGAGGCGCCTGGGGCGGGCGCGGCGCTACGAGAGGCCGGGGCGGAGGGACACGGAGGGACGGGCCAGGCCAGGCCGAGCCGAGCCGAGCCGAGCGCGGGGATGGGTGAGGAGCCGTGCGGGCACCGCGGAGCGCAGCGCTGGGCGGGGAGAGGAGGGGGCTGGAAGTGATGATGGTGATGGGAAAGCAGGATCGGTTTTGCCATGCGCTGGCACAGCCCGGTTGGGGGATTTAGGGATGGGCTTTGTTGGCGTTGTGGGCTCCAGGCGGAGGGAGTTGGGGTGGTTCAGCCTGGAGGGGGCTCTGGAGAGACCGAAGAGCCCCTTCCAGTGCTTAAAGGGGGTTTACAGTAAGGAGGGAGAGCGACTTTTTACACGGGCGGGGGGAGGGAGGGATTTAAAGAGGAGAGATGTAGATTCTATGTTAGGAAGAAATCCTTCCCTGTGAGGGTGGGGAGGCCCTGGCACAGGTTACCCAGGGAAGCTGTGGCTGCCCCATCCCTGGGAGTGTCCAAGGCCAGGTTGGAGCAACCTGGGCTGGTGGAAGGTGCCCCTGCCCATGGCGGGGAGTTGAAATGAGATAACCTTTAAGGCCCCTTCCAACCCAAGCCTTTTCTATGATCTCCTGGGGTGAGCTGTAATTAAAAGCCTCATAGCTGGTGTTTAAAATGAAGGAAAACTCGCCCAGGACACAGCAGTCTCTGTGTTTCCCTCGGTTTCCCTCTTCTCCCCAGCACATGCTGTGTGAAAGGGTGAGAAAGGTTTTGCAGGGTCCTGGCAGAGAGCTGTAATGCTGAGCACAAAAAAAGGGCTTTGCTCCCAGGCTGGTGTCCAACCTCCCCCCAGGGCCTCTTCAGCTGTGCTGGAGGGTGCCAGTGAGGGCTTTCCCAGCATCACAGTGGGTCTGGTGGAGGAGGTGGGAGGGTTATTCCCTGCTGGGAAGTTGGAGGAGCAACAGCCATGCTCCATTTCAAAAGGGAGCCTTTCTTTGTGGCTCCCCACCTTCCATACTTTGAGCTCTTGGATAAATACTGCCATGAACAGATTATAAGATATCTGGGCCACTTGTTTAATTTGTAGAGCTTGTGGTGTGTTCTCTTCTGTGCCTGAGAGAGGTGTTTGTATGTAAGTGTTTAGACCCACACAGTGAATAGAGCATTTTGAGTCAGTGAAGGGCCAAAGCAGCAGCAAACTCTTCTTCCCTTGGTGTGTAAATAGCAAGAAGGGTAAATAGCAAGCAATTGAAATGGTGAACCTTCTGAGTTCCAGATGGCCTCATTCAGGATGGCCATCATTTATTTTCCTCTTTATTGCATGATTCTGTGGAGCATTTCTCTCCTGTTCTGAAACGCAGAGGTTAAGCAGGAGACATTTTTATGTTTTATGAAAAGCTTTGCCTATTTTTATACCTGTATGATTGGAGTTTCTTGTCCCCTGCTGTTATCCAGGTTGTGAATCCATCTGAGAATGGACCAATGTAAGCAACCTTATGCTGACCAGAAGGCCAACCTTGAAAAGTTCAGTCCTGAAGTTCTTTCCGAAATTGAGAAGCTCTTTACAAAGAAGTTTACTTACACTGAGCCAGTGAACAGTGAATGGAAGCTGCCAGATCCCAGCAGTGTTTTCACATGCGATCACAAGGAATTTCACTCGCTCCTGGCCCTGAAGGACTCGATGAATGAAGTGAAGAACCAGCTGAGCGATAAGAACCTGGAGGACTGGCACCGGCACACCTCCTTTACCAATAAAGCGGGGAAAATAATATCCCATGTGAGGAAATCTGTGAATGCTGAGCTGTGCACCCAGGCGTGGTGCAAATTCCATGAGATCCTGGGCACGTTTCCCCTTCTCCCGGAAGAAGCTCTTCAGGAGGGAGAACTGAATTCTGTCCACCTCTGCGAAGCACCTGGAGCTTTCATAGCCAGTCTCAATCACTACTTGAAGTCCCACCATGTCCCTTGCCAGTGGAATTGGGTCGCTAATACCCTAAACCCGTATCACGAGGCCAATGACACCCTGATGATGATCATGGATGACCGTCTGATTGCAAATACGTTGCCTCGGTGGTACTTTGGCCCAGATAACACCGGGGATGTGATGACATTAAGACACCTGTCAGGACTTCAGAACTTTGTGAGCAGTATGACCACAGTTCACTTGGTAACTGCTGATGGCAGCTTTGATTGCCAGGGGAACCCGGGCGAGCAGGAAGCTCTCGTCTCGCCCCTCCTGTACTGTGAAACAGTCACTGCCCTGATGATCCTGGGCACTGGAGGGTCCTTTGTTTTGAAGATGTTCACACTGTTTGAACACTGTTCTATCAACCTGCTCTATCTGCTGAACTGCTCTTTTGAGGAGGTCCACGTGTTCAAGCCAGCCACGAGCAAAGCTGGGAACTCAGAGGCCTATGTGGTTTGTCTTCGTTATTTGGGCAGGGAAAGCCTTCACCTGCTGCTTCCTAAAATGACACAGAACTTTGGAACAGAAGTGGTCGACAAAGCCCTTTTTCCCCAGCATGCACTGCCGGAATCTTTCCTTAAAATACACGAGGAGTGCTGCCTGTTCTTCCACAAGTGCCAGGTGGAGACCATTTCTGAGAACATCCGTCTCTTTGAGCGCATGGAAGAAGCAGAGCAGATCGAACTGAACAAGTTAAGAGACTGTGCAGTTCAGTTCTTCATGCAGAGGTTTCGCATGAAACCCATTGCCAGAAAAAACTGGCTCGTCAGGAAACCTCAGGCTGGCTGCAGCATGAATGCGAAATGGTTTGGGCAAAGAAACAAATATTTCCGTACGTACAACGAAAGGAAGATGATGGAAACCTTGACGTGGAATGATAAAGTGGCAAAGGGCTATTTTAATCACTTGGCTGAGGAGCACAGTTCAAATAGTGCTGGGAACACGTGCATCCTGGAGGGACCACCTTCGAACCTCGAATGCAGCTTGTGGTACATTTTGGAAGGAAAAAGACTGCCGGTGGTAAAATGCTCCCCGTTTTGCGATGGTCAAGTCTTGGAAAGCCTCAATGAAGCTGTGAAGAGGCTGGGTGGGGGGAGGCCGAAAAGCAGACCAGCCCTGCAGCCTTGCCACTCGTGTGAGGTTCTTGCCGGGGAACTGCTGCTGGCAAAAGTGTCTGACCTTGCCAGGTGTCATCGAGAAAGCTGCAGCGACCACTTCAAGTGCCTCGTGTTGGGCTTTCCCTCCCTCTGTGGCGCAGAGAGCCCGCCCAGCATGGAGGTCAAGCCCGTGGACTCGGCCGCCCTGCTGGCTTTCAGCTTCTCCCCGCTTTACGACGGGAATCCCGAGTATCAGCAGCAGCTCCTGGAGTGCGTCCTGCGTGCCCTGGCCCGGCTTACGGCGGGAGACGCGCTGGTTCTGCCTCTCCTGTCGTGCCTGACGCGCTTCACGGCCGGCCTGGTGTTCGTCCTGCACTGCTGTTTCAGCGGCGTCGCCTTCGCGTGTCCCACCTCGCGGGAGCCCCTGGGGGCCGGCGCCGCTTTGCTCTGTGTTGGTTTCCGGGGCCTCCCCGCTCCAGTTGTCCGTTATTTGCAGCAGCTGAACGCTCTGATGGGCTCCTTACTCCACGCAGACTCCCCCCAGCAGGTCCTGCAGTTTGTGCCCATGGAGGTTCTGCTCCAGGGCAAGCTGTTGGAGTTCCTGTGGGATTTAAACACGGCCATTGCAAAGAGACAGCTCCACCTGATTGTGCAAGCTCAGCAGCAGCAAATGGCTGGGAACATCTCACTTTAAAGTCATCCCAGGACTGGGCGAGTTGCTGCTGCTGCTAGACCTTGTTTCACAGGCAGGCAGAAGGTGCTAAAAACATTGTTAATGCGAAGGCAGCGGGACTGTAAAACCTTGGTGTGACATTGGGAGTGCTGGGAGGATGTTGGGAGCTATCAGTCCCACTTGCACTGTATTGTCCATGTGGAAAGGAGGAGAAAGGAAAACCAGGCCTTGGTTTCTGGCCGCTGAGCTGGTGCTTTAGGATGCAGAATCACAGGGAGTCCTGGTGAAACAGGTGAAAGCAAGGGCTGACCAGGGAGCTGCAGCCTCAGAGCCTCCTGTTGCCATCCCTAAAAACTGTCTTTTGACATCCCTTTCATTTACAGCTGGTTTAATTCCTAATGAGGAAGTGGGGAGAAGTCCTGTGTAACTTGCCTTACCGTTCTGGGGGGTATGGAATGATGGTGTTTATCAGTACTTGGCCCTGTTTCTCATCTTTAAACAAGAGCCTCTGAATTTCACCTCGTAGCCTTTGAGTATCAGCCTCTTTTTTAGCACTTCAGTGAGTGAGGACTGAGATTATCAGGCTTTGGCAAGGGGAAATTTTAATGGTTTCTCCATCTCTGTTGTGTGAATGCCGTGCTGATGTCCTTAGTGGCAGTTCTTTGTGCGTTCAGTCACTTGACAGGAGGATCAAATGGAGCTGTTTATGCTCAGCCTCTGGCTCTTCATCACCTGCTCTTCAGGCAATAATTTGAATTGCCATCAATCCCTCTCTTGTGACTCCTTGTGGGTCCCAAGCTGAGCTCAAGTCTTAAGAATGAAATTTGCTGAAAGAATTGCCCTGTGGCTGTAGACACTAACACAACAACTGGAACCTTTAGGAGACATTTAAAGGCAGGAAACTTTTCCACCAGCCAGGAGAGGCTCGTGGGACGTGCACTTGGTGGGATTTGCCAGACTTTCCTTGCTAAAAAAATCTTTAAAACAAAGGCTTTGAGGTGTGACCACCTGAGCAAACAGTTCCTCAGTTGTGTTCATGAACACAGAGATGTTCATGTTTGCACGTGGGGGAACCCTCAGGGTTCTACAGTCCTGAAACTTTTGGATTGTAACTAATCCACATGTGCTTTTGGTTTGAAGGATGCATATATATTTTTTTTTTAAGTAGAAGAAAGGATATTGATTTACACGGATGTTGTGTATTTTCGTTCGGTCTGCAAATGTTCAGTGTTAAAAGACTTTTTTTTTTTTTTTTAAAAAAAAGGAAAAATAAATGTTATTTGGAGAAAATAAAGTATTTTATTTTAAATTTTCAACGTTGCTGTTCACATGTTTCTTTCTCAAAGATGGAACAAAACAATGAAGTGCAGTAAGGGGAAGTCTGGGGAGGTTTAATATTCTTTTTATTTTGGGTTATTTGGTGTGGGTTTTTTTTTTTTTTTTTTGAGCCAGGTTTTCCTCATCTTCCCAATTAGACCCACCCTTAATGAGGGAGGGGGGCAGGGGCTTGGGAACAGCCTGCTCAGCAGGGGTGGCCTTTGGTTCTCACTTCCTTTACCTTTGCAGTTCAGCAGCTCAGAGAGGCTCCAGCTGCTGGTGAGGTCAGAGCAGCGTAGGAGGCCTGATCGCCGTTCCCTTGGCCTTGTCCCCGAGCCCTGCAGTCCCTCTGGGTGGCTGCTGTAACCTGCTTTAAACAGCGAGGATTTTGTCTTGAGGATCTTCATTTTCTCCCGGCTGTGACAGCTGCCTTGGTAGGACAAGCCTGTTAAACACTGTGCTTCTGTCTGCAAAGTCTGTTATTAATCCTTATCCAAATGTTTTCATCCTAAATTGCTTGCCTTCACTGAGAGTGGCATGATTAAGGAAAAAAGCTGTGTGCCCTTATTCCTCAGGGCTGGCTCTGCTGCTCTGCCAGGGGTTCCAGGTGATTGTGCTCTGTCTGCAGACCTGCTTGCTGACCAACTTTAATCGCAATTATTAATGCTAATGTGTTCTTCTCGTCGCCTTTCTCTTTGGAAAAGATTCGAGAGCTGGGGAAGGTGGTTCTGTGTCCTGGAGGTGTGAGATGACACAAATGGATGCTGTTCCCATACCTTCATTTCCTTGCAGCTGGTAGGTGTTTGTTGGGAAAATGTTTTAAAGGAGGAGCTGAATGGATGCTGAACTGCAGGACAGAGTTGTCTCGCTTGGTTTTAGTGAAGCTCCAGGTCTCTTAATGTCAAAATGAACTTCAGGGGACGTGAGGACTTTGGGAGCGTCCTTGAAATAGGGAGGCAGGGATGGAAGAGCCTGTTAGGGGGATTGTCAGGTTGATTTTGGTGGAAATATTGTTTAATGTGGTTTTACTGAATTATAGGGAAATGTAAATGCTCGGAATTGTATTCAGGCTTATAAACAGTTCTATGAAATATTTGCATTCCCAGTATAACAGCATAAAAACAGTGCCTAAAGACATATGAAATGGCAGATTAGAAAGGAAAGGGAAAATGTGGATGTCTTTATTTTTGCTGCTACAGACCTTAAAAGCTGCATGTGCGGCTTCTTCAGGCCTTAAAGTCAATTTATACACTACATTATTTAGATTATGTCTCTTATTTGAATTTTGATAGGACTTAATGTGCTAGCACGCCTGCCAGTTTTTGAGTTTAAATTGCTGGTGTTGAAAGCAAAGCCAAAGCGCTGAGCCCAAAGCAAATTAGCTCTCTCCCTGGCTGAACAGCTATTTAACAAATTCCCTTTTCTCTGTGTTGTGTCAGGTCCTCTGTGTACCCCACCGAGGCCGGGGAGGTGGAATTTTACCTGTAATACAACTCCCCCGAGTGCACCCCGGCTAGTGGCTCCTTTTATTAAAACAATAATATGAAATTGTTTATTAAACCAATATTTTTTCCTCCCTAGGAAACTTGGAACGCCGTTTAGTGAGGCTCATCTTTACGGTGCTGTGCCGAACGAGGACGACTCGCTTGTTAAGGGATTGATTTATCTAAATTGGGGGATAGCAGGGAGAAGTGCCTGTCACTTGTGGGCGAATTGATTTGTTTAGGTTTAGGGGGGGGGATGGCAGGGTGAGAGCGAATCAATATTCAAAACTTATTTGTTGCTGAAGCCTGAGATCATTATCCTGGTATCAGGGAGATGAATGGGCAGGCGCTGCCTGATACAAATGAAAGCTCCTGCCGAGGTACCCCCAGGTCCTAAGCTGTCAGCTACCTGCTCCTCAAAACAATGACCCCGTAGCCAGTTGGTAATGAAACCTCAATTACGACCAAGAAATGAAGGGGCCGTGCTGAAGTGCCTTAATTTATGTCTCGAGAGAGAGAGAAGGTGAATAAATACTTGCTTTGTAATCAGCCGAGTGCCCCGGGTGGATGGCGGAGCACAGCTCGACACCCTTGAGTTTGAAGTGTAATGAAATCTGTCGTGGGGTCACAATAAACCCACCTCCAAGGTGGCTGCTGAAGAGCCACACATCCCCTCAGACGATGATGTGCTCTGACAGGCGGGTGTTTGGTGGAGGAGCCCTCGGAGCAGCTCCCTGCCTTGAGAAGGCTCCCTGCCCTCGTCACTGCAGCAGTGCTGGTGGTGCCCAGCCAGCCACGCTGCCAGCTGTGTGGAGCCCTGCCTGGAGCAGATCAGTAGCACAGGATGTGTTTGGGATTAGCGCACCCGGGGCTGGGGTGGCTGTAGCAGCCCTGGCTGGCGGGAATGCCGATGGGGGCCCGTCGTCGCACCTGAAAACCACCTGCAGCTCTGCACCTCTTAGAACGTGGAGTGTTAGCACCAGCTGGAAGGGACCTGGATGCAGCTGATGTATTGGGAGTGAGAGGAGAACCAGTTCAAGAACTCCCCTCTGCACTTTGGGAGCACTGGAGAGGCTGGTCCCCACCTAGGGTGAGCTTGCACTTTGCGTGGAAACACCAGGGTGAGCTGGTGTTTAATAACTGTCAGCACTATGGCCCTAACTATAAATCAAAAAGTAATTGATTTCAGGGTGTTAATGAAATTTAGATTTATGGAGAAGTTCAGTTATGCCTAAGATGCACAGTTAATAGCACTGGCACTGAAAAAAAAAAAAAAAACACCAAATTAACTTTGTTTCCATTATGAAACGGGGGTAGTATTCGCCCATAAATTTATATTCATATAAGTGGTTTGGCTCTTAATTATGCGAGTAGCTTTGGGAAAGTTCTGTTCTTAAATACTGTTTCCAGACTTGGAAACCTGTTCAAAGCTCTGGATATTGTCCAGCTTTCAAACCCCAGCAGCCTCGTTGCTCTGTTGAGAAAACCTGAGGCTGAGGACCCTGCCCTGGGCTCGCTCGGGCTTCTGGGGAGGAGTTTGAGTGGGAAGCGGATCAGCCTCGGGTGGGTGATTCAGTCTGATGAGTTCCCCAGTGGGTTGCAGAGGGGACAGACAGGACAGGCACTGCTCCTCAGGAGGGATGCTGGGACTGGGGTTTGCCAAAGAGGAGGCAGAACTGAAGGTCCAAGTGTCTCCTGCCCCGCTGTAGGACGATGCTGATGACACACCGGGCAGCAGCTGAGAACGCTTATCTGCGTTCCCATAACTGACCTTCCTCCTCACATCGCTCTTTGCAGTTCTGAAGTGACCTGGACCGTTCCCTGAAGGAAGCAGTGACAGCAGCAATCTCAGGAGCACGAGTGGAAGTAATGAAGCAGTAATTAGCAATTAATGAAATGTGGTGAAACTTTTAACTGTGGCACTGGCCTAGAGGTCTGGTGCTGGAGTGAAGCAGTCCCTTGGAAATCTACAGTACTGAAGCTTAATTATCATAATTTCCTTTGGACACCATCTGCTCTTACAGCCAACTTGTGTATTTACTTTTGCCCCTGAAGGCAGATGAGTTTTAAGGACTCCATTTCTGTGGCTTTTCACAGCAGAGATTAAGTTGAAGCTGGGAGAGGAGCATGGAGAATGAGGTGGCCTTTGTGGCTGCTGTGTCCTGCAGTGGCTGGAAGAGCCAGCAGGGTGTCAGAAAGGTGTTTGGACGCAGAAGGAACAGAGAGAAACGTGGACAGAACCTTCTTGGTAGTTGGCAGAGGGGTATTGTCTTGTTTCCAGAGGGAGAACAAATGGAAATGCTGCTCTCTGTGGGCTTTTCTCTTCCCCTTCCCCCCTCAAGCCCTTCTGAGCCACGTCCTGAGGATGACAAGGTCTTTCAGATACTGTGATAATGAAAGGCCTTCTAAAGAAGTTACCTCTGGGTAAACCAACTGCAGGCAAACCCCAAATTCAGAGGCCAGTAGAGCTCTCCTGAGGAAGGAGGACACCTGTCCCTGTGGGGGGACACAGAGGGGGCTCCTCATTCCTCACATCCTTTGCAGTGGGTTGTTTTACCAGTCGTGTGATGATTTATTCCTTGCTGAGCACTGTAAAGCCAGCTAAGGCCAGAAGCCAAACTACATCACCACTCCTTGCTCTCCTAAAAACCAGCCTGAAAAATGGGCCAATCACGAGAACAAACAGCTGAACAGCACCAAGCCTTCCCCTCAGCCCCTGCCCTGTTAATCATTGATGGCAGGAGCTAAGAGCGAGTCAGGAGACTCAGGTTAGGCTGAATTATCTTTTGGTTTCGGCTGTAGGAATGTCCTGTGGACTTGAACAGAGCAAAACGCTTTCCAGGCAGCAAAGGTGAGGAAAATGGGACAGGGGAGTTTTGGAAGCTGTCGGTGCAATTTGAGACGTCACTCGTTTGCACTGAAGGCTTCAATTAAGGATTCTATTTTGTCTTGTGTAAATCAGTTTTAATTAATAGAGCAGATGCACCAACAATGCATTTGGAAATGAAATGGAGGAGAAAAGAAAAGAGGCAGCTGGTGCTAGTGGATGTAAATATTTGGTTTTGGGGAAGTGAAGCTCTGCAGAAACTTCAGGCTCCATTTCAAATCCAGAAGCCTGTTTCTTATGCCTGTGAGGATATATGGAGCAGAAAAAATTAACTAAACCATAATGCTTTGTTTGATTCCAGTGCATGTGATGTAAGCAGCCTAAGTTTTTGGAATGGGGCCAACCCACGAAATCCTGGTTCCTGCTGAAATATTAAGGCCTTGCCTCTGCTGGTGGAAGATGCATTAATTCCAGAGGAGCTGCCTCTGCACCCAGAAGCCTTCCCAGTACAGTCCTGGTTTATGAGCGTGGACAGATGGATGTGCTGATTCTTGACCCACTAGAGCAGAGCGAGGTGCAGTGGTGCTGCTGA